GGATTATTTTATAATAGCAAAGAATGGATATAAAAATATAGAGCTTTTAAGTGAAGGTATTATTAAAGAGAAATTAGATAGAGATATAGATTTTACAATAGTTAATGGTAATACTTGGTCTTCTATTAAAGATAAATATGATATTGAAATTCCATCTAATGATATTTATAACATAAAAATATATTTTCTATGTAAATCAGATAGTTGTGTTTGTAAAAACACTCACAATAACAATCTTGTTAATCACTCACTATGTAGTTTGATATCAACTGATGTTAAAAAAAATTTGAATATTAAAAACATTGAAGTATTTGGTATTGAAAAGATTTATACTTCCATTCTATCATTATTTATTAACCCTACAATTAGCAAAGAATTATTTAAAGAAAATTTCATTGTAAAATTAAATAACAGAGAAATAGTTGATCCTATTAAATCATTTAGAAGTTTATTTTCAAACAATCAATCATTAGATGATAACAGTAGAAAAAGTATTGAATTATCAGTTGAATTAAAAGAAGATTTTAACTTATTAATTGATAATAATTCTAATTCTTTAATTGTTAGTAATATGAAATTTGATCATATTATAGGATTAAAAAATATTGAGAATACTTGTTATATGAATAGTTCATTGCAATGTTTATTTAATTGCTTAGAATTATCTAAATTATTAGTTAATAGTAAATTTAATAATAATAAGTATAAAAATTTTGTTAAAGTTTATAGAACTAATTTGATTAGATTAAATTTGGGTGGAGCTGTTAATGTTAAGGGTATCAAGGTTGAATTTGAAAAATTATATAATTTATTTATAGGATCTGAATACCAAGATGCTCAAGAATTTATTAGTTTATTGCTTGATAGTATTCATGAAGCTACTTGTGTTAAAAATGATGAAATTAATATTCTTAGCAAATCAATTGTTAGCAAACTTTTTTATGGAAATATTAAAAAAACTATCATTTGTAGTAAATGTAAGATTGAAAAGTCTTCTTTGGATACTTTTATGACTTTATCTTTGCCAATACCTGAAAATACTATAAAAATTTTAAAAGCTTTCAATTCATTTGAATATCTTTCTATTAAGGAGGGTACTAGATTTGTTGATATTAAGAAATACTTAAATACGACTGATGATTTACTTATTTGTGAGTACTTAAATAACTACATGATTAATATTTATAAGGCTAATGTTTTTGAGGGTGGTTGTTCAATTTTTAAAAAGAAAAATAGTACAATTGTAGCTTATAAGTATTCGCCCAATAAAAAACATTTACTGTTGAAAATATTTTACAAGAAATACTATTTGATTTACACAAAATCACAATTTGATGTTCTTATTAACATTGATGATATTGATCATGATCCTTATAAATTGTTACATGAAAATAGAGTTATTATTCTTAGTAGAGTTTATAAAGAATTAAAGAATATTTTGATAAATATTACTTTAGCTGAATTTTTAGAACTTTCCAAATTGGAAGGTTCTATTTCTGTTACTGATCGTGACATATTAACGATTAATTTAAAAATTAGTTCTTATATATTTAAGAATATTCGCAATGAAAACAATCTTCATTTAAATGACTGTTTAAATAACTTCTTAGCTACTGAATCAATTGAATACACTTGTGAAAATAGTTGTAAGTCATTAGCAAATGTTTCTTATGAATTAATGAAGTTACCTAAATATTTAATAATATTCTTTAAGAGATTTGATCAATTTGGTCATAAAATAAGCACTCCTATTGGGTTTGATAAACATGCATGTATTAATAATATTGATTACGATCTCATTGGTGTTATCAGTCATTTTGAAATAGGTCTTTGGGGTGGTCATTATATTGCTTATATAAAAAAGAAGGAGTGGTATTGTTGTAATGATTTAGTTATTAGCAAAGGTAAGATTGATAAAAACAATGCATATGTCTTATTTTATGAAAGAAGAGAATAAATTTATTAAACTATTTCACCACATTTCATATAATCGTTTTCATCTTCTAATTGATGTTTTCTCTTAGAAATTGACTTAAATGTTTCTATTAGTTTTTTTCTTAACTTAACTTTTACTAAAAATGTTGAAATTAAAACTATAAATATACAAAAGTATAATAAAATTGATGCATAATCTTCTAATTTCTTTTTTGTGATTTTCTTTATTTTTTCTTCTTTTTGACGTTCATGTTTAGTAAAATATTTCATTTCAACAATTTCATTTCTAAAATTTTTTAAATATTTCTCTAAAGGTTCTAAAGTCCCACTGTGTATTTTTATATCTGTTAAATTATAATACTTTTTAATAGTTTCAAAATCTTTTAATTCATATTTAGGGAATATTAATGGTGATTTACCGTCTATCTTAATGGGTGTAAATACTGATTTGTCATTTTTAATTAGACCTGTTTTATTGTTTAAATTAAATCGATTTAAATTTCCAAATACAACTTCATTATCTTCTATTATGAAACAAACGACTCCATCATAATGTTTCTTAATTTTATTGTTTTTAGAGAAGGTGTAAATATTGTTATTGTTTAGTTTAAAAGTACATATTTCCATATTTAACAACTCTTTGATTTCATCTGTAATTTTAACTGCACAGGGGTAACAAATTTTAAAAGATCTTTTTATAGGATTTTTAATCGGATAAATATCAATCATATAAGATATTTGGTCGATAATAACCACATTTTTTAGGTTTCTTATTATTTTTTTGGTCATACCAGTTATCCCATTGTTCATATAATCATAATTACAGGTTGTACAAACACAATTTTCATTTTGTTTTGTTTTTGCTATTATATTTCTTTGATCTTCAGATAAGTCTGATATTTCTTTAAAAATAACACTAAACCCATTTAAATTATTACTTGCTGTTATTAAATTTAACCAATTAATTGTTAACATAGTTTTTACTCCTTTTCTATTTTTTTATAAGGTTTTCCCCTTTAATTTACTTTATTTTTTAAGTAGTATTTTATAGTTTATTTATCTTTTCTATTTCTTTATTCAATTCTTCTATTATATTTACATCATTGGAATTCTTTAATGGTTTAATACTGTCTATAAATATATCTTCTATTTCTCCTTCTTCCACTTCTTCAGAACTTTCATAAATTGGTACTTCAAAGAATTTTAAATCAAACATTTTAAATTTTTATTAAAAAATATTTTTTTTTATAATTGAAGGAAATGTTTATTATAATTTATTATGTATGTTTTTATTTAAGTAACCATTTTTAATAAATACTTGAAATATAAATTATTTTTGTTATTTAATAATTAATAAGGTTTTATTAATAAACTGCCTTTTAAAAACATTTATAAATTCTTTAATATTTAAACTTGTAGGATGAAAGTTGATGTCTTGGACTAAGAAAATTTCTAAAAATTTAAAATAGAGGGGAAATTAATTTTTTAAAATAAATTATTTCAATTTTTAATAGTTTTTGATAATATTGCTTCAAATTTCTATTATATATTTAATTAAATAACATTTCGAGATGTTTATATAGAATCTCTGATGTATAAAACATATAATTTATAAATATATAATTTTTATATTAATTTTGATGTAAACTTGAATATGTTATTAAAAACATAATTTAGATAATATGGTTAATATAAGATTTTTAGATTAAAATTCGAATCTTTTCAACCAATTTTAAATATTTGCAACTAACTATA